CTCCCTGCTCCGCGGGAAGCCTGCTTCTCCCTCTCCCACTCCCCCTGCTTGTGTTCCCTCTCTCGCTGTCTCTCTCTGTGTCAGATAAATAAATAAAATCTTAAAAAAAAAAAAAAGATACTTTCGTAGAAATGATATTCTAAGTAATACACATATTTAATATAAATAGGATAATGTCCAACCAGGAATCAAACAAAATATTCTTTTTACATATTCCAAGTAGGTATACAGAATTCTCTCATTTCTTTTTGAGAGAGAGAGAGAGATGAGAGACAGAGAGAGAGAAAGCGAGCACACACGCGTGAGTGGGAGGGTAGAGGGGCAGGGGAGTTGGGGGGGGGGGGGGAGGGTTAGAGGGAGAGGGAAAAAGAGAATCCCAAGCAGGCTCCACGCCCAGTGTGGAGCCTGTCTCAGGGCTCAATCCCACCACCCTGAGATCATGACCTGAGCCGAAATCAAGAGTCTGACGCTTAACTGAGCCACCTGGGCGCCCAGCAGATAATTCTCTTTATACACGCATACTAAGAGGCTAAGTTCAATACATACTTTGTTTTCACATTACCTAGTGCTGGAGGATAAGATGTGACCAGTGGATGGAGTCCTGCTCCCGACCCTGGCGCTGGATTTCCAGTGCTTCCCTGGGATACACTGCTATGGGGGTCACTGGCACTTGTGGCATTGTTGCTGGTGCAGGACATCCCACCTCCGGTGTCCGCATCTTCAATATTGCCACCGCTGTTACAGCCAGCCCCACACCCTTTCCTTAACCTAGGAACAAACACCAGAGTAAGCAGCATTACCCCCCGATCACTTCAAGACAGGTGTCTTACTCTATTTCTAGCTATTCTGAATGGTTAATGCTACAAATGTTCATCTTTGAAAGTCTTCATGGCGCAGTCAATATTAGAAACAAAAAAAAGGCAGCTATGTTTTCAAAGAATGGCCTAAGGACTATCCCCCCCCTTACTCTCACTGCCTCAATTCTTCCCAATCTACCTTCACTTTTTATCATCTTTCCCGATCTTTTCATCTTTCCTTAGCCATAATAAACTGCATATAACAAAACTGTACCATTAAGATAGCAACAGGATTCTTGCCAGTGTCTTTTCAGTGCCTCTGAAGTGTGCAACTCCTGAAAACCTAATTTCTGCTGTAGCACACTTGGAAGAGAGCTGCTGCAATCATTTTTCCTTTTTTTTTTTTAAATCTAGGGTGACCAACTATCCTGGGTTGCCCACAACTGTCTCAGTTTGGCACTGAAAGTCCTGCTTCCCAGGACACTTCTCAGTCCTGCGCAAACCAGGACAGCTGGGCACCTTAATCTCTACACCATTTCTCTCGAGGGAAGAAAACTCAACCTCTTTGATGCAATTCCAGCACAACGGATAATTTTTGAAAAGAAATTTCTTCGACCACCTCTGTGGTTTATGTTCTTCTTTCTGTTTGGATAGGAACTGATGTTAAAATGGTGAGACTTTTTTTTTTTTTTGAGTATGCCTGTTTGAGAGTTTGCCACCCTAATCCCACATTCTGTTTTTCTTAAGTTCTGTTATTTAAGGATCTAAACAAAAGCTTGTAAGAAACTGAAAAGATACTCTATGATTTTTCTTCACTGTCTACCAAACTATGATGTTCCTACACTGAACACCATAATTTACCAGACAAAAGGCAGAGAAAAAATTCATGTGCGCACTCGACGGTACGAGAGATCTGAGGTCGGAGTGAGGGCTGGATTGTTAAAATGGCAGTAGTAGCACGAAGGGTTTCGGCAAGTACGGCGTGCTCCCCCTGCTGCCAGAATGGAGTAACACAGAAGGTGAGCAACTTGCTCAAGTGTCCTAGGTTTTTCTCTAATTTGCTGGGTGTTGGCCCACACATCCTAATAGTGGCGCTATGCTGCAATACAGTCACAAAAGTTAAAGAAAGGAGAACTGTTCAAGATTCTACGAAATGCTGGATCAGTGGTTCTTAACCAGTGTTGTACATGAGATTTATCTAATAAGAGTCTGAAGATAAAAATGCTCAGACTACTTTCTAAAGTTCCTGACAGAATGGGTTTATATTGTGTCATGGCATCTGTATTTTGTCTGTAAGCTTTCCAGGTGATACTCATGCAAACTGCCTCGAGGAAGAGAGTCAGAACACACCATCACTGAAATATGCAACCACACAGCTCACCTGTGCCAGGTTGACACTATGAAGTTTCTGATATTTCCCAAACTGATAGGTCCCCCAAGGACTTCTTTAAGCTGTTCGTGGCTGTCAGAGTAAGAAGTTGTCAGGGGTGAGACAAAGATTGGGTAGCCAATAGGCTGATCACAAGAGGAGTTTATCATGTTTCTCAGAGCTTGTTTTGCATTTTGGATGCTACCTCTCTCCGGGTTACGGTTACGTAGAAAAACAAGCTCTTGCTGTTGTCCTGCCCAAAGACCTCGGACGCATTCCTTATTAACCTGAAAACCAGAACACATGGGAATTAGGTGAAGGGGCCAAGAATGAAATTCATATAAACAGAAGAGTATAAATGGGAGGGATACAAAAGACATATGAGAACCAACTGTGAAAAGCAGGAAATAAATACAAGTAGGTCACATCTGAACAGGAGTTCATCAATTTTCCATTGTCACCAGTGGGCTGTTAAATAATAAGCACACATAGAACTCTTTTCCCTGGTCTGTCTGGTAAAAATATCAGGTTTTCCAAATTAATAATGCACTGAATTTTGTAACTGAGATAACAGATGTATTTGACAGAAAGGAGCAGTAACAAATATTCAGAGTTAAAAGGATGTTTGTGACTTTGCAGGTTGATTAAATGAAGTAGATAAAAAGTGAATCATTATTAACTATTAAAATAAAATTTCAGAAATTATGTCTCCTAAAGCCATGAGATGTTTAAAAAAGCAACAAACAAGGGGAGGTGGGTGGGGGGAAGGGATAACTGGGTGAAGGATTAAGGAGGGCACTGGATGTAATGAGCACTGGGTGTTATATACAACTGATGAATCACTAAATTCTACCTCTGAAACTAATTTAAAAAAAAGACAAACAAAAAAAACAACAAAAAGTACAAGCTGTGGTATTAGTTTGCAACCTGGAAATCAAATTAGCAATATAGTGCTGATCTTTTAAGAAGAGATGCTGCCCAGAGAGCATATATAATAGATAAAAGACTGCCAAAACAGAAATAAGCAAAAATTTTAAGACTTTATGGCACATGAGAAAATTTCAGAGGATAGAAAAAATTACAAAATAAATCAAATTAAGTGCTCATAAACAATCAATGCTAATGTAGTATGGTCATTTTTTTTTCTATAAAAAGAGTTTCACTTTTTAAAGTTGGGATAAGGTTATGTAACGTCCATTTTTTTTCCCCAGACACAAATAAATGCTTCAAAAACTTACCTTAATGACCCTGAAGCTCAGGTAGCGTCTATTCAGCATGATGATCTTATATTCATTGGTGCCATCATCCATGACATGCCGCAGAGCAAGAAGGGAGGGAGAGTTGGCAAGGACTGCACTCCGCCACGCAGGGTCCCCTTCATGGGCTATTACGAGGTTCTTTTCATGAGACACAATGGCTTCATAGAGCACAGTAGGGTCATCATACTCATCTGGAGAAGTGAAATGATCCTAAATAGAGAAATAAAAAAATATAAACTTTACAGGAAGAGAAGGACTTCCACTGGAATGATAAACGCTTCTTCAGTTACTAATCAGTTACTAAATGAAAATTCTGAAAAACTGGTTTAATATGAGTATTTCATATCCGCACATATTATTATTGTTGAAGACAGTCTTAAATTTAACCAGGTTAGGAATTAGCTCATTATTGCCATACTATTTTTTTTTTTTTTAAGATTTTACTTATTTGACAGAGAGAGACACAGTGAGAGAGGAAACACAAGCAGTGGGAGTGGGAGGGGGAGAAGCAGGCTTCCCGCTGAGGAGGGAGCCCGATGCGGGACTCAATCCCAGGACCCTGGGATCATGACCTCGGCCGAAGGCAGACACTTAACGATCTGAGCCACCCAGGCGCCCAGCAGTGTTTCTTTTTAACGAGGCATTTTTAACATAAAGCCACATCTCTAGAATGATTCCAATATAGCATTTTATCTCAAGTAGTTAAGATAATAAGATTAAGGGTCCTAGTCCTAAAGAAGCTAGTCAAGTCTTCCCTGAGAAATCTCTTGGTCTATGTAACAACCACTCCTGCATTCCACAAGCTGTTATTTAATACCTCTCATGTAGGGGATTCTATGGCAGAGAGCCTGGATGAAAAAGGAATATGTGGAATCTATCCCCCCTTCAGAAACAGTGCAAATTAATAGTGGATCCAGGATGTATACCCACATAACCATAACACGAGTCTGAACTTCTGAAGTGAGGAGTATACAATCATAGATATTCATAGTTGGGAGGTTGATAAATTTTTACAACCAGGTAAAGTAACTGATTTCTACTCAAGCCAAGTGACCAGACTGTGTGTGATATCTGAGGGGAGATAGGTGAGTGTAAGAAGGCAAGCTCCCCAGTGATGCACCTCCACATCTAGGGACTAGCCTATATGAGAATAACAAAAGTATTCACTATATATGTGAATAATGCTTCATAATGTAAAAAGTTCTGCAACATGTTTTTTCCCTGAACTCTTACAACCTTGCCAAGCAGGTTCAGTACATAATACCGGCATTTTGCAAATATCAAATCTGAAGTTCAAAGAGTCATAGCTGCTTCCTAGGTTTAGAAAGTTAGTAAATGATTAAGCCAGGACTTAGAACACATGTTTAAAGAGAATTTATCATTCTGATTTTTAAAAGTATATGATTACAAATGTTAACTGAAAAACCTGTCAAGTCTAGCTGCTGTGATTAGGGAAAGTTACACAATGCAGGTGGTTTTGAATTGGATCTGAAAGAATGAAGACAATGGCAGTGGCTGGAGATAGGCGCTATGCTGGAAAGGGAGAGAGCTCCAGGCAAGACACCCTACAGGGGAGAAGCACAGGTCAGTGAAGAACATACAGGTGATGACAGCCTAAAGTCTCTCTGGGGAATTGGGTTTCTATTACGTTGCCAGGCAGCACTGTGCTAGACACTGGGGAAAGAGTAGTGAGCATGACAGATACAAGCACTGTTCTCATGGAACTTAGGGTCTAGTTAGAAAATACTAAAAAAAAATTAGAAAACTAGCTTTTAGCCAGATTGTGGAGCATCTCCCCTGTACCTGTCCAGATTTCTTTTACCAAGCTGGTGCACTCCCCTCTCCAATGCTTTGAGCATTGGTTCTTAACAGCTCACAGTTATTCCCTCCTCTCAGAACTGCCTTCAGTTGATGGAGCTGCCTGGGCAGGAAATGCCAGGGGAGGTTTGTTCCCCACTTGGGTGTGGGGGGCTCAAGGTACACCATGTAACTCCTGGTGATACTGACACTCTAGAACTCACTCTAAACCAGTGGAAGCTAGAATTCAGTTGAAACAGTTTTGCTTAGCTCCTTCCCTGTTCTTTCCTGCTTCCCTCCCTTCCTTACAAATTCCCCTGAGGGCACCCTGTCATCTCTGGCACAGGAATCCTGGACTCCGACTCTGCTTCTAAAGAACGTGGCCTAAACTAGCATTTACAACTTACAATACCTCTGTACATCATACACCAACCCTCCTGACCTTTCTTTTAAATACTGAGCTCACTTTCCTATACCAGCAGATAGCTAGACATCATATGATGCACTCTCCTTTAGGAAACAGTTCCTTTAGGGAAGGAATCCTATCTTTGTATAGTAGCGTTGGTACAATTTTTGAATGGAAAATAAAAGTGCAGACAGACATAACAGTTATACTCTTAATAAAATGGACAAAGTTGGAAATTATTAGGCATGCCAAAATAGAGTATGCTGAATCTTGCTCAAATATTTCTTTTCACTGGGCTTAAGATGGTTGGATGACTACTGTTTTAGAGGCAAAGTATTTGAAACAAGCAGAATGTCCATGAATAGGGAAATGGTTGAATAAACTGTAGTTAAAAATTATATCCTAGGATACTACAGAGCCGTTAAAAATATGGGGTGCCTCTGTACGTGCTGACTTAGAAAGTATCCATGTTATACTAAATAGGGGGGAAAAAGCTTGTGTTACAGATCGTTTTATGTAGCACAAAGGAAAATATTTGTACATATGGATGGAAATGTCTATGAACTCAGGAAAATCAGAAAATATATGCATCAAATTACTGGCAGTGACTGCTTCTTGGAAGGGCCATACAATGGTATGGGATGATGGGAATACTCACTCTTGGTTCACGTGAAGCTCACTTCTTAACGTTTTTCATTATTTTTCAAATACAAAGAGAAAATGTTCCCAGTTCTGGGAAAAGTTTTCAAAGGCATTTTAAAAATATACTTGAAAAGTTATAAGCCAATGCACAGGATATATATATTTTTTAAAAAAACGAAACATTCATTTTACATTCACTGGCTGCCAAGCCTCATGCTAAGCAATGAAGATATAAAGATTAGTAAAAAATGATCCCTGTCCTCAACCACACACTATAAGATTTTCGTCATATACCACTTATAAGCCAAACTGGACTTTGATTATTTTATTTTATTTTTAAAGATTTTATTTATTCATTTTAAGAGAGAGAGAGAGACAGCACAAGCAGGGGGAGAGGCAGAGGGAGAAGCAGACTTTCCGCTGAGCAGGGAGCCCGACTCGAGGCTTGATCCCAGGACCTGGAGATATGACCTGAGCTGTAAGGCAGACGCCCAACCACCTGAGCCACCCTGGCGCCCCTGATTAGTTTATTTTAGTTCTAACAACCATGTATCTTCAAAGAGACTAATGAAAAAGGTAAAACAAATAAGGAGGTAAAGTGTTTTACAAAATGATTAAATAGAGGACAAGAACAGGAGAACATGTGAAAAAGGCAATTTGCTTAATTTCTCTGAGTTCTGAGTCTTCACCTACCAATCTGGGATGAAAACAATTTTCTGGATTGTGGTGGTATTATGGATGTGAGAGCACTAATATGCTGTACAACACTGTACATTTACTAAATATCACACAGATTACGACCATTTTTATTTATAAAGTAAAAATGTAATACAGTCAATTGGAGAATTAAAAAATAAAACAAAACTGTAAAGGAAAAAGCAAAAATTAAAAACACCTACAAGGTGTGCTAAACACACATTATCAAGGACTGTCTGAGAGGCAAGAGTTAAGAGAAATTTTATATTTCTAGCTTTCCGGGAACAAAACCTTTTCTTTACATAAAATAAATTATACCATTTTAAGTGTACAGTTACATGCATTTTGACAAATATGCACACCCATGTAATCACCACCACAATCTAGATCTAAAACTTTCCATCACCCCAAAAAATTCCTTCTTGTCTTTTGGCATTCAATCTCCACATCCTAAGGAATCACTAATCTGCTTTCTGTGGATATAGACTAGTTTGATTTGTTTTAGATTTTATATAAATAAAATCATACAGTGTGTACTCTTTTTAAAATGTCTGGTTTCTTCCACTGTGCATAATGTTTGAGATTCATTCATGTTGTGGTATCTAACAACAGTTCATTTCTTTTTACTGCTAAGTAATATTCTATCATGTAGATATACCATAATTAGTATGTTCATCTGTTGATGGACATTTGAGTTGTTTCCAGTTTGGGGCTATTACAACTAAAACCGCTATGCACACATGTGTGTAGACATAGACTTCCATTCTCTTAGGTAATTATCTAGGAGGGGAATTGCTGGGTTGTATGGAATGTGTATGCATATCCTTTCTTTTAATACATAAGCTTATTGTTACTTTTGTGGGTTGGGTTTTCGTGAGTATATAAATCATGAAATATGTGAGTATGATATATGAGTATGAACTTTGGAGATTACCAGTACTGATTTACAGATCTTTTCTTGGCCCAAGAGTCCCTCATGGGCAACCCAACATCTGGCTCAAAACTCAGTTAAGTGGTTGTTTCTGGCTACTACAGGTCGATCTCACCCTCCTCAAAGGTGTATCAGAATTATGGAATTTCTCCAGGCTGCATTTGCATTCTCTATCTTCCCCCCTGCCACCAGCCCTCCAATGGCTCCCGGGTTCCTGATTCCAACTCCTTACCCCCACTGTTTGTCACTGTTGTTGTTAGTCATGGCTAATGAGAGTGAGCTGTAGTGTGTAGCCCAAGTGTGTTGGGCCAAATATAAGGTAGAGAAACACTGTCACAGGCAATAATGCCATAGCCAAAAGAACACGTAAGGAAATGGACCTGGCAGCAACAGGTAAGAGCACCTGTAGGGAGAGACAGGGGCAAAGACCTAAGGTATCAGAAAATTCCCTGTGCCTCAGTTTCTCCTCTGACAGTTGGAGAGGAAACACCTGTCATAATGTTTAGAATTAACTGAAGATGTCGATCTGGAGCTGTTAGGTAATCATGCTGTATAAACCAGAGTATTTCTTACATAGATATATTAATCAGTGCCTTTTAAGAAATTCTAAAGTTTTAAAAACATTTTAATCTAAAGTCATTATCTTTTTCATTTAAACACACTGACTTGGCTCAAAACTGTAAAGGTAGTCTGAAGATAGACAACTCTATTTGTTCCCAAATGTGTATTTTCTCCATGATCCTCAAAATAGTCTTCCATTTTCCACAGAGACTTTCAAATAATATATCCCTTGTCAGTAATCTCCTAAATAATATGGAACAGTGACTTTATTCTAACAGTTTAGATCACAGTAAAATCACTTGAGGAGTAATTCACCCTTTATTTGGGGGAAAAAAAGATTCAAACAGATTTGAGTACAGCAGTTGCATTTTAATGAGGCTTATCATGTGGTCTTTGTCATCAGATCTGACGACTATTGTTCAGTAGAATGATTAGAGTAGCAAGTACCAGTACTTAATTTCCTAATAGAGTCTTGAAATGATCCAGGGCTCTGGATATATATTTTGGGTCCACATTTTAATTTTATTACCCTACTAGGATTATTTAACTAAGGCTAAATCTGTCCTAACCACCCATTATTCTATATAACATGCTACATGAAGCTCATCGCTCAGTAACAGTAGCGCTCACAACCCTCCTGAGATGTTTGTTTACCACACTGCACTGGGAGATGGCTAACATTCCCCTACAGAAGAGGCCTGAATTACAATTATGTGAAATGTGAGGTCAAAACAAGAATTATAAGGGCCAGAGAGCTTTATTTCTAGTCTGTCACTGCTGACAGTTTTCCTCAAGTTCATGTCCAGATCAGTCACTCTCTGATATTAATATTCACATTTACCCTTAGAAACACAGGTTCAGGCTTCTAAGAGCTAATATCTTGGCATAAATCATGTTTCTCTGTGTTTCATATAATATTTCTCAAAAGGTTCCTAAGAAACGTAATTTGGAAGTCAAATGAAGAAGTGCCATTAAACACCAGTAATGCATTATAATTCTCCTCTTCTTACCTGATGAAGTTTAATGGACATGCGGATTCCCGGGACTACGACTTTCCTTAGCAATTCCATGTCAGCGAAGATCCATTCATCTCGAATTGAAGAAATACGGAAATCTCCCTTAAATAGGGCATGCAATCCATAGAGGAATGACTCTAAATTACTGTTAGGATTGGAGATAAAAATTTACATATTTTGACAAAGAACTTCCATTACACTGATTCTTACATGTGGTTGTGCATCAGAATCATCTGGGAGTGTTTTGCAAATACAGAGTCCAATGACTATACTAATGTTAGAACCCCTGAGTCAGAATCACAAGGGACAGGGGCCCATTGATCTGGGGCCCTTGTTTACGAACCACTATAATAATAAGCCCATGAAAATAAACAACAGACAAAGAGTATATAAGTCACAAAAACTTAAATGGAAAACATGTAGTAATCACAAAAGAAATGTAAAATATATAGTATTTCTTAGTTCTAATTCATTCAGATGCATATGTCAAGAAATCCAGCTTATATTTATACTTCCAAAAATCTAATGTACTATATTAACTATATTAAAAGCACAAATGCTCTGGACAAAAAAAAACCTACAAGGAAATATGGAAAAATAAAAAGAGGTAACTCATTAGAAAAATAGATGTAAAATGGGAGGAGACCAATCAAACTTTATGGGCGATTATTTTTAAAAATGTCTTAAATCCATTAAATTCTTAGTAGTTACCGCACATGTGTGATTTTTAAAAGCCAGCTATTAACCACTTGGGAGAACTCAACTATGTTCAACAAAAGATCTATAAAAAAACAGTATCAGAAGAGACTTTTGCAATAAATTAGCATAGAATGCTTCCATGAAAAGCTATTTCAGACTTTTCAGATCTACGTTATACAGCTTCTCCTACTCTATTCCTGAAAACAGAAATGCCTTCCTTACCTGGACATATGGTGGGATGCGGTCCCCAAAGCTCTCCGTCCCAGAACGCAAAGTCCATAACAAAGAGTCACCAGGGATGAATCTTTGTCGACATCCAGTGGCTTTAAAAAACAAAGAACATTAGTTATCAGAAAGGTATAAAGGTATTTAACAAATAGGAAGACAGCTAATAAATCAGAGAGGATGAAGAACTCAACTAATACATAATTTCTAGGTCTTTAAATAGTTCCAATGAGAAGAAACTTAACAAATCAGTTTAAAATGAAGTATGAATGTATATGAGGAGTTTCTTTGAAACCTTTAAATAAAATCTAATGCTTTATAATACTGGAACATACTTAAAAAAAACAAACAAACCTGACTTTTAAAAAGTATTAGGATCTTAGCAAAACATCTCAAAGAAAATACTTAGCGGCATACATCATTACTGATAACGTCTTCTCCTGAAAATACAATATTCTATCTATTAATTAGTTGTTTCTGGACATAAGGTGGAGGCAGGCTATTAGTGACAGCTGCCATTAGCCTACTAGCGACTATACCAGAGTAAAGAAAACCAAATTGATGGTTATCTGTGGAATACTGCTTCCCCTCAACCTCTGAATTTCTTTTTAACAAGTGGAAGGTTCTCTTACCCAGAAGATGGTCAGAAAGAAGAAGGTCTGGAAAAACTGACCTCATAAAAACAAATGGGGATATTCTTTCCATCTCTGAAAAAATGGACTCAAAGAGTTACAAATAAAGTACAAAACCTCTACCTTTGCTCTTCGGGAAGAGCAATACTCTATCCAGTTGAGGTAAATCACACAGAAACTCTCCCTGGATATGCCAGCCAGTCGATGGTCATAGTCTTCATCAATGTTTGGATTAAATGTTGGGTCCACATCAACATAATTTCGATCTGCACACAGACGTAGTCCTTCCTGCATTGTCTCATTGGCTAGCCACTCCTCCAGTTTAGAAGAAGTTGTAACATAATAAATGATACCCTAAAGGGGAAAAGATTAAAAAAAAAAGCAAAAAACAAAACCCAAGTTACAGTTTGAATTAACTCTAATTCCTCATTAAATAAATTCCAACAGTTTATACTGATTGTATAACTAAAAAATATTTTATTCTAGCTCAATACCCTAAGAATACATTTTAGGAATGCTGTAAAAATATACCTCAGGCCTTTCTGGATGAACAGTTATTTTACTTTAAAAGTCACAACCATAAATTCATCAAGACAAATTCAAAACAATTCTATTGATCTTAGAGCTTTTGAATTTAGGACATTTTAAGAGAGAGAAAAACTTTACTGTGATGCATTTCTCATAGAAAGTTATTAAATCATCTTGTGATGCTAGGTCAAGTTATAGAAATAGAATAGTAAAGCAACAGAAATATACCTACTTAGAACCAGAGATAGAAAATGCCATATACACACAGAGACACAGAGCATGTAAAAATTGCAAAATCACTCTATTTAGCTTCCTGAGGTTGGGTTTAACCAACCATTAATTATAAGACTAACATTCATCCCAATCAGCACAAATAAAGTGGTACACAGAGGTAGTAACACAGATATGGAAAATCCAGATATGGGTCACTAAAATTTAGCATACATTTCCCTCTTCAAAATACTGGCTTTGCCTGCAAGCTGCCAAATCATAGCTTGCTGTAATCTTGTTATATCTTCAGCAAAAAGAGAACACCTGTATAGTAAAGAATTAACCCTGCCCAAGAGAGGTTTGGTCTTTGCCCTTGGGTGCTGGGAGGTAACTTCTATTCCCTTGGAATGTCTTGCCTCTTAAGAGTCTTTTTTCCCCATGAGCTTACAGCCATGACCTCTGGAGGAGCTGGAAACTAAGGCTGGCCATGAGGGCAGTAAACCACATCAAGGTGACTAGACTCCAATAAAAACTCTACACACCAAGGCTCAGGTGAGCTTCTCTGGTTGACAACAGTCTGTGAGTACTGTCACACATTGTTGCTGGGAGAAATGGGCATTATCTGCACAACTGCACTCACAGAAGACAACTGGAAGCTCATGCCTTGGTGTCTCTGGACCCTGCCCTATATGCCTCTTCCCTTGGCTGATTTTAATCTGTATCCTTCCACCGTAATAAATCCTAACCATGAGTGTAACGGCTTTGCTGAGTTTTGTGGTTCCTTCTGGCAAATTACTGAACCAGAGAGTAGTCCGTGGGGACCCAAAATTGCAGCTGGTGTTACAAGTGAGGGTGGTTTGGGGGACCTTCCAAATCTTGCAATACTTTTATTCAGGTTATTGAAAGCAGTGCAAAGCAGTGGTTAATAGCAAGGGCTCAGGAGCTGGACAAGCCTAGATTTTAAATCCCTAACTCCACTTGCTAAGTAGAGGACACTGGGCAGGTAACTTCTGATTCTTGTTTACTTGCAAAACAGAGATGTAATATTCCTTCAGAAAACTGGGTAAGACATATATATGTATACATATGCGTATGCGTATTCCTTGCCCCAGTACCTAAAACATATAATCTACATATGGTAGCTATTATTCATGAACAAATGAAATAAGTTCCACTAAAGAAAGACACAGCAATACCTTAGTAGGTATACTTCACTGACTTAACGAATACTAGGGAATTTTTTTTTTTTAAAGATTTTATTTATTTGAGAGAGAGAGTGAGAGAGAGAAAGAGCACAAGAGTGGGGAGCGGGAGAGGGAGAAGCAGACTCCCTGCTGAGCAGCCCAATGTGGGACTCGATGCCGGGACTCCAGGATCATGACCTGAGCCGAAGGCAGTCGCTTAACCAACTGAGCCACCCAGGCGCCCCCCCCTTTTTTTTTTAAATAGACTCCAGCTGGGTGTGGAGCCCAAAGTGGGGCCGAAATTCACGACCTAAGATCGAGACCTGAGCTGAGATCAAGAGTTAGACACTTAACCGACCGAGCCACCCAGGCACCCCAATACTATAGAATTTATATCACTACTTAGAAGCAAAGCACAAGTATATTAAAAAAAAAAAAAAAAAAGTCTTTTCCAAGAAGAACTCAGAACTGTCAGAAGATCTACCTGGGCACACACCCTTACCTTGACATAGTAAGTGGTGAGGACTTTCCGAAGATCAAAGACTTGAAGCATAGAGGCAGCACTATTGTCAGTGATACTATAACCCTCCAGAATATACTTAGTGACTATCACTTCCCAAGCTAGCCAGCGCTGGCTAAATGCAGCATTAAATGAAAGCACATGAGGAATATGGCCAGGTTCACAACAGCAAAATCCTTCATCTTCTTCAACGCCTTCAGTAATGGCCTCCACTTCCCGTTGTTGACAGTAAGTACCTTAAAGAGAGAGAGAGACTACTGCATACAAAGGAGAAAAAAAACCATATGAAGTAGAAAACGAATGCTTCAAAGACACAAGAAATTTAGGGGGGAAAAAAAAAACACCTTTTATAGTAATTGAAAGTGATTGATTTGCCTTGGAATGTCCACTAACAAACTACAGGAAGCTCCAGAAACTAGGCATATTATATATTCACTTCCTGCAGAATCACAACATGAATTAGCACATTAAAGGTTCTGAAAATTTGTGCAGTTGCCTTCTTAATTTCCATTTACTGATCCCAAACTTCTCAAATTTGGGTTCACAATTGCATTCATATCAAATGAAGGCCAATGAGTAAAGGGACATCTCATGACGGTTTGAGTTCATTCAATAAGGGAAGAGTGGATTTAGAAGTGAATCACTGCAGGGCACACAATATAGACAGACATGTAGAACTCAAAAGAATGTGGGCTCTATTTATCAGTACCATGTCCATGTGGCAAGCAGAAATATTATATACATATATTTGGATATATAAACTGTAATGGTTCATGATAATTTTATCTTAAATCCATAATTACTTTTTCTGTTGCCAATTCCAACAGTAATTGGATAAAATTACATTATTAGCAATTTGAAGCTTACCTGCTGATAAAGTTTCAATTAGGTATGAGCTCTGATTATTCAACACTAGCAAACAATTCTTTGAAGTTACATTCTTTTATACAAGATATCAAACAGACATTCTCTGCATTAGTGTTACTGAAGTAAAAAATACAAAATCAGAATAAATACAGAATTACACCCACAGCAATCTAGTGCCAGTAAAATATCATCTGTCACATTAATGTTTATTTTGTTCTATGGCCTTGCTTCCACTTAATTAGCAAATTCCTTAAATTCTGTAAGGACTATAAGGGTATTACACTTAATTTTATAAATGCACATATTTAGGTTATATTTTAATAACTTATATGGACTTCAAAATTTTTTTTCCTTTAAAGAGAACATATACAATCCATGTTTGAAAAACACTGTTTTTTTTAATATTTTATTTATTTATTTGAGAGAGAATACGAGTGAGGGAAAGGGCAGAGAGAGGGAGAAGCAGACTCCCCGATGAGCAGGGAACCTGATGCGAGGCTTGATCCCAGGACCCCGGGATCATGACCTGAGCCAAAGGCAGACGCTTAACCGACTGAGCCACCCAGGCACCCCTGAAAAACGCTGCTTTGAGAGAAAATGATGCCATGAAAACTAGCCCCAGGTGGTAGTGGTGCTATAAAAGAGAGGCAGAAGAGGTAGGCTGGGCCGGGCTAATGAGCTGTATTGTGTAGCACTCTAGAACTCTCAACAACTCTATGATTTCATTTCTTGTTTGATTACATTGTTGAGCACTTCCAGAACAATGTCACACAGTGGTGAAAAGAAAAACCCTGGCATGAACCAGACATTAACAGGAGTACCTGCTGCAGCTGATCATCACACATGATCATGACTATAGATCTATATATACAAACTTTTTTTTTTCCAGAATAAGGATATGTGTAATTTTATAAAGTATTTTTCAAACCAATAATGGAAATGAAATTCAATCAAATGTCTCCTGGCATCTTCTGAGAGGATCATATTTTGTTGTTTTTCTCCTATAACTTATTAAAAGATGAATTCTATTAATTTGTTTTCTAATACTTAATTTCAAAGATAAAAATGAAATGACAAGGGCTCAACTACTGAGAGGTACTTAAAAAAAAAAAAGGACTGCTAATTTCTGCTGATTCTGGGTTCTGCGGATTTTTGCATCTAGAGTCTCATGTGAGTTATATTACACTTATTTTTTAGCCAGTTTAGCCATAGTTTGACATCAGTATTACAGTGGCTCTCTAAAAAGCCTAGAGAAATTTTCCTTCTTTATCCATGTGCTAGAATAGGGTAGAGAGGGCAAACAAATTATTCAGTCTCTAGAAGAAACATCCTGAGGCTGGGGTTTTAAAATCACGGCATGAAGCTGGGTCTGTTCCTTAGATTCTATGTGTTATTACTTCATTTTATTCATTTTGTCATCTTTCTGGAAGGTCAGTCAAAGGTTTTGAAGTAAAGGAGATGACATAATGAGAGCTGTATTTTGTGCAGATCACTTTGTTAATGGTACATAGAAAAGATATGTGGCAAGAGGGAACTTGGAGATTTTGACATTTACTAAGACAGAATGAAATCCTTGTTCAGAGCAGAAGAATGTGAACAGAGTAATTAATTAATGTGGGACATTTTTACTCTACCATACAGATCCCAAGAATATTTTCTACCCCAACATGCCCTAGTAATACATTTTGCTTAGGAAATGAAGTCAACGATAAGCATAGGAGTTAATATTAGCAACTGAAAAAAGAACTCTGAGACTCAGAGGGGGATTCTAGAATATCTATAAGGAACTATTACCAATTGTTTCCTGGACTAGCTATGTCTTTCAGTCACTTCATAGTGAATATTATCGGTAAAACTAAAACTGGCAGTTATGAAAACTAGACATGTTAAAAGTAATTTGAGTAAAAACCAAGAGGAATCCAATCAGCATAATACATTTTGACCTATAAAGTCTGACCTGGAAAACTGTACTTGGTTGAAGTAACATTTACAAACAGAAAGTTAGCACTGTAGAAGCTTTAATAAAAAATTTTTGATAGACAAAAAATGACTGATAACTCAAATCTATGAGATAAAATTTACATGGAAAAGAATATTGAGAATATCAGTAAAATAAAAACGGAAATGAAATAAATATAAAGGGATTTAACCAAGACATACAGGAAACTGATCAAGAAATTTGTTTAGCTAAATGTCACATGGCATTTAGCATCCACTACAAGATACAATAAAATCAATGAATTAAATTGGCTTAATGGAGAATACCCCAGAAAACACATCAAAATGCTCAGGGGATCCAAATATCTGCCTGGCAACATACTGACACTCTTGATTAATATTTTGAGAGGCAGGAGGTAGATGGGACAGGGAATAACACTCTGAAGGAAAGAAAATAACCAAAGATCACAAGATCTGAGCAAGAATATAATCATACCTCATGAGAATTCTGGAATGCAGAGAAAGGAGAAACAGCTATATACTTACATCATTTAATCATTCTACAAAATTAACTAATTATTATATGCTAACTGATGAAACAGCAACTAGATACATAGTAATGAATGAAGCAGATAGGATTCCTGCCCTTGAGGAGCTTATAATCTACAGCAAAGGTTTGCAAAATACAGGCTTGGGCCAAATCCAAGCTAAGAATGGTTCTTATATCTTTAAAGCATTGTTTAAAAAAAAAAAAAAATCAAAGAAAAATATGGAACAGAAAATGTACATGCCTCCAAAAGCCTAAATTATTTACCATCTGGCTCTTTATAGAAAAAGTTTGCCAACCCCTGGGCTAAAGAAGAAATAAACTTTAAACAAACACAAATAAATATGAAATTATGAAATTATAATTATGCTAAGTGCTAAAGAGGTAAAAATGGCAATATGAGAGATAATCATGTGGGACAGGTGGTTAGAGAAGGCTTCTCTGAGAAAGTGATATTTAGGCTAAAGCTTAAGGATAATTAAGGAATTAGCCAGATGGAAGATTGGTGGGAGGAAGGGAGATGGCTGGTACTTTCTAGGCAAAGAGAAAGGCAGTAGGAAGTCCTTTGTAAAGAATTTAGCACAGTTAAGACCCTGAAGGAAGGCCAGTGTGGCTAGAGTAAGTGAGGATGAAGGTATAAAGTGGAGTTGGAGAAACTGGCAAAGACCAGATCACAGTGTGGCAGAGCATGTTAAGGAGTTTGAATTCTATTTTAAGTGCAATTGAAAGCCACAATTTTAAGCATGAAAGGAACATGATCAAATCTGCCTCAAAAAAACAAAACAAAACAAAACCAACACTATGGCTGAGTGAAGACTTACAGATATCTCTTGCTATCCAAATCCACCACAAATTCAGATAGTAAAATGTACTGTGTTCCCAAATCAGTTTGAGTTTTGTTTGGCAAACAGAATTTGAATGGCAAAAAATTTGTCCAAAATTTTATTTGAATCTACTCGGTACCAGAGATTGAAAGTTGGGAGAGTAAGGATTTGGATCAGTTTCTGATTTGGAGAATTTCTGACCAATATGGTGAAATAAGCACGTCCTAAGAAGGACCCTCTTCTAATTCACACTGACAGAAATGCTACATAAAACAGCTTCCCCACACAATTGTTTAAAAAAAAAAAAATTAAAAAACAAAAAGGTGAAATCTTCAGGTACCAACAATTTAAAAAGATGTTAAAAGTCATGG